AGATGAACTATTCAGCAATAAAAAGGAACAGACTATTGGTACATGCAACAACTTGAATGAATTTCAAGGGAATTATGCCTAGTGAAAAGAAAAAAATCCTAAAGTTATATAATGTATATAATTCCAATAAGTATTTTTGAAAAGAAAAAATTTTAGATATATAAAACAGATTAGTAATCACCAGAGTTCAGGGTGTGGTTGGGTGGCTGGGGGAAAAGGATGTATATGGTTATAAGAAGGCAACATGAGGGATCCTTGAGGTGATGGAACTGTTCTGTATCTTGATTGTGGTGGATATATGAACGTACAAATATAAAATTGTATAGAACTAAGTACACACAAATGAGTACAAGTAAAATTGGGGAAATCTGAATATATTTGTAGATTATGTCAGTGTTGATATTCTGGTCATGATGTAAGATAGTTTTGTAAGATGGTACCATTATGGAAAACTAGGTAAAGGTACATAGAATCTTTCTTTATTATTTATTTTTCTTTTGTTTTTGTTTAAGATTTTATTTATTTATTTTTAGAGAGAGGGGAAGAGAGGGAGGGAGGGAATCTTAATGTGTGGTTGTCTCTCTTGCATCCCCTCCTTAGGACCTGGCCTGCAAGCCAGCATGTGCTGTAATCAGGAATTGAACCAGCTACCCTTTGGTTCACAGGCCTGCATGCAACCCACTGAGCCATACTAGCCAGGGCATACTTCTTTTTCTTAAGAAAATATTTATGTTTTTAGACAGATGGGAAAGGAGAGAGAAAGACAGAAGGAGAGACATATTAATGCTAGAGAGAAATACTGATCCATTGCTTCTCATATGCATCCCAACCAGGGACTGACCCCATAACCTAGGCTTGTGCCCTGACTGGGAATTGAACCGGTGACCTTTCACTTTCCAGGACTATTCCCAACCACCCAACCAACTGAGCCACACCGGTCAGGGCTTTGTATTATTTCTTTTCTTTTTCTTTATTTAAAGACTTTATTAATTTAGCCCTTATTGATATAGCTCAGTGGATTGAGCACAGGCTGTAAACCAAAGCATCACTGGTTTGATTCCCAGTCAGGACATATGCCTGGGTTGCGGGCCAGGTCCCCAGTGGGGACCATGTGAGAGGCAACCACACATTGATGTTCCTCTCCCTTTCTTTCTCCTTCCCTTCACCTCCCTCTAAAAATAAATAAATAAAATATTTTTTAAAGTTTATTTTAAAAATATAAACTTTTAAACTATTTTTAAAAGTTTATTTATTTATTTTTAGAGAGAGGGAGAGGAAAAGAGAAAGAGAGGGAGAGAAACATCGATGTGTGAGAGAAACATCTAATTGGTTGCTTCTTACATGCCCCCACCCAAGAGACCTGGCCTGCAACCAAGCATGTGCCCTGATGAGGAATGAACCAGTGATCTTTTGGTTCGTAGGCTGGCACTCAATCCCCTGAGCCACACCAGCTGGGGTAGGGCTGTATTATTTCTTAAAACTTCATATGAATGTATAATTATCTGAGTAAAAAATTGAATTAAAAATAAAATAGGGATAAAATAGTAAGATGTGATCTTTATTTATTATCATCTATACATATTTCCATGTTGGAAACATTTCATAATAAAAAGAACAGGCAGTCTCCTCCGTGTGTCTCTACAATAAAATTCTCCTCAGCTGTATATTGCAACCATTTGGAAGACAGATTAAAGGGAGAGAAATCAGGAAGAAAAAATAAGTGAAACTGTAGGAAATGAATAGCCCTACCCGGTGTGGCATACATGGTTAGAGTGTTGTCACATAAACTAAAAGGTCATGGGTTTGACTTCCAATCAGGGCATATGCCTAGGTTGTGGGTTCATTCCCTGGTTGAGGTGCATACAAGAGGCAAACAATCGATGTCACGCTTTTCCGTTTTCCCCTAGCTCTCTGACCAGCCAGCTGTTAAATGTAGGTATTGTCTTGTCCATGGTTCTATCCTTGCCTATATATTCTAACTATATATTCATTCTGGGCTGTTTTATCCCCATATATTACTTCAGTCACCTCCTTGACCCATTCAAATACTTGTCTCCAGCTCTGGTCTGAGCGCTGGCTCTTTTGTTTTTGTCATGTATCCAGCTGTTTATTGAATATCTTCACCTTGATTTCATATTGGCACTTCTGACACAGTTTTCTGTTAGAATATTTTCAGTTTAAGTAGCAAAAAACCTAGCTCATACTGGCTTAAACATTAAGGAAATTTATTGGCTATATAACAGGAATCCAGAGACTAGCTTTAGGGTAATTTGATCTGGTGGCATAACTATATAATTAGCTCTCATCTCGGTGTTCTCCTGTGCAGTGTCTGCTGTGTCTGCAAACTCTCTTCCTTCATGGTCACAAGGTAGCTGCCAGTAGCTAGCAATGCACCATTGCTACACATTTTCTCATTAAATATTCAGAGGAAGGGAATAGAATTGATTGGACTTGATGAGTTAGATATTCTTTAAAATCTTTTTAAAAAGAGAGAGATTCAGCTTTGCCTTAAAAAAAGATTTTATTATCTTTAGAGGGGAAGGGAAGGAAAGAGGGAGAGAAACATCAATGTATGGTTGCCTGTCTTGGGTCCCCTGCTGGGAATTGGCCTGCAACCCAGGCATGGGCCCTGACTAGGAATTGAACTGCGATCCTTTAGTTTACAGGCCCGTGCTCAATCCACTGAGCTACACCAGCCAGGACACTGAGCTATACCAGCCAAGGCACCATTATCTATTTGAAGAACTTTTTCTTCATCCCAAAGACTGTTCCCATTGAATAATAACTCCTTACTCCCCCTCTCTCCAATTCCAGCCACTGGTAGCCTCTGTTTTATTTTCTGTCTCTTGTGAATTTGCCTATTCTAGGTACCTCACATAAGTGGAACCATAAAATATTTGTCCTTTACTTAGCATAATGTTTTCAAGATTCATTCCTGTTTCCTTGGGTATTGAAACATGCATGGATGTAGATACATGAAGTTGGGATTTATATACAGTAAAGTCAAATAGGCAAGGAATTTGTAACAAGGATGGGTTTTGAGGGTATTATGCTAAGTAGAAAACAACCCATATGATCTCACTCATGTGAAATACAAAACAAAACAAAACATAAATGAAACAAAAACAAACTCAGATGCAGATAACAGCTTAGTGGGTTACCAGAGGGAAGGGTAAAAGGGGTAAAGGGTCATTTGCATGGGGACCGGTGAAAACTAGGTATTTGGTAGTGAACACACGGACATCTATAACATGTCAAATTATAATGTTTACACCTAAAACTTATATAATGTTATAAACCAATGTTACCTTAATTTTTTAACAAAGAGAGTGGGCAAGGAAAATTTGGTGAGAGTTCTCAAGCCACCTACTGGGAAAAATTACCTTAGGTATTCAGATACCCGGTTCTGGTTTCCCCCAACTTCTTATGTATCTGTTTGTGTCCTTAGAGTATAATAAGGAGGAATTATTTGAATTGCTTTTACCTGATTGTATAACTGTGAGTTGAAGAAGCCAGGATGATGATGGCATCCCAAACTCCATTCAGCTTTAGGTTACGGAGTGTCATCATATACTTTCAGTGCTCATGAATATAATTTACCTCAAAATTTGAAACACTGTATTGTATTGAATTTATATTTGTATATGTTGCTGTGTACTTACTTCTCTAAAGATCTTTTTGCATCTAGGTATATAATCAGTTAAATGACAACACTTTTCCCACCCTTTGCAACTCCTTGTGGTATTTGCAATTATACTCTCAACATGAGATGTTGATCAAGTTACCTAAGACATTGTTACTGTGGAATTAGGGCTTAATTTTTTATATTCTAAATAGCATTCAACTTTACAGCTCAATCAGGGGCTATTTTTCAGAGGTAAACCGCTTCAGAAGTAACACGTGTCAAAAGAATAAATGTTTGAGGGACCTGTAGCTAAATGATGTTTATACAGGGGGAGGGGACAAAAAAAAAAAAAGCAGAATCATCTTCTGGAGGGCCGGCTCCTTGTAGTACAGGCTTCCCCTGCTAGGTGATTGTTCTGGGAACCCATCTGTATCGGTGTACCAGTTGGCATTGTTGTGAGAGGCTGTATTAAGTTTCATTGAATTTTTTTTTGAAGACTCGGTATGTTTGCCCATTGCATGGATAGATTATTTACAAGTGCACCTGCCCACACCTATGCTGAGTGTTCAGCAGTTTTTGACCAAAACAGCACCACCCTGGTGCCCCACCCTCCCTGTTCACCCAATCTCCACCCCCCAACAACTTTTTTTTGTTTTCCCCTTGAAAAAAGTCCTCGAAAGGAAATGTGTAGAAGAGGTGAAACAAAAACTATCAGAAGCACTAAAAGGCATCAGAATTGACAAGTTCAGAAACTGTTGTGAGCAGTGGAAAAAATGTCTCGATTGGTGTGTTGTATCAAATGGAAAGTACTTTGAAGGTGACTGAAGTTAAAACATGTAAGAATAGTCCTGGCTGGTGTAGCTCAGTGGATTGAGTGTGGGCTGCGAACCAAAGGGTTGCCAGTTCGATTCCCAGTCAAGGCACATGCCCAGGTTGTGGGCCAGGTCCCCAGTGGGGGCCACGTGAGAGGCAACCACACATCGATGTTTCTCTCTTTCTCCCTCCCTTCCCCTTTCTCTAAAAAAATTAATGAAATCTTAAAAAAGAAAAAAAAACATGTAAGAATACCTGGCTGGTGTAGCTCAGTGGATTGAGCACTGCTCTACAAACCAAAGGGTCACCAGTTTGATTACCAGTCAGGGCACACATGCCTGGGTTGTGAGCCAAATCATGCCCCCAGTAGGGGGTATGTGAGCGCAACTACACATTGATGTTTCTCTTCCTTTCTTTCTCCCTCTCTTCCCCTCTCTCTAAAAATAAAAAATTCTTTAAAACCATGTAAGAATAAATATACAATTTTTTTATAAATAAATTTTGGATTTTTGGTTCCCCCCTCATATATGCTATAATAGCTCATATCTTATGCTGTTAACAGAAGACTAAGAGAATATGGAGAAATTGGAACCCTCCTACACTGCTGGTTTTAATATAAAATGGTGCTGCTACTTTGGAAAGGAATCCCTCAAGATGTTCAACAAAGAATACCATAGGACCCAGCAATTCTACTTCTAGGTATATCCCCAGGAGAATTGAAAACATATGTTCACACAAAAATCTGTACACAGAAGTTCATAGCAGTATTATAATAGCAAAAAGGGGGGGAAACAAATATGCATCAATTGATAAATGATATGTCCGTGCAATGGAATACCATTCAGCCTTAAAAAGATATGAAGTCATGATATTTGGTATAATATGAATGGACCTCTAAAAACATAAAGCTAAGTGGAAGAAGCCAGTCACAAAAGACCACATATGATTGTATTTATATAAAAAGTTCTCGCCCTGGCTGGTGTAGCTCAGTAGATTGAGTGCAGGCCCGCGAAGCAAAGGATGGCGGTTCAATTCCCAGTCAGGGCACATGCCTGGGTTGCAGGCCAGTTCCCAGCAGGGGACACATGAGAGGCAACCATGCATTGATATTTCTCTCCCTCTCTCCTTCCCTTCCCCTCTAAAGATAAATAAATAAAATCTTTTTAAAAAAAAGTTCTGAATAGACAAAGAGACAAAAAGTAAATTAGTGGGGATTAGAGATGGGGGTGGGGGTAAGGAAAATGACTGCTAATGGGTATGGATTTTTTATACCCATTAAAAAGTGGAGATTATGAAATCGTCGAAATTTGGTGATAGTTTTACAACTTTGAATATATTAAAAACCATTGAATTACATACTTTAAATCGGTGAACTATATGATACGTGAATTATATCTCAGTAAAGCTGTTCTTTAAAAAAGGCATTGAGAAACATTATTTAAATTTAGAGCTCAGGGTTCTGACTTTTCTCTGGTGTCCAAAAGCTTCATTTTCTTTTATTGGGCATTTTTTGTTGGTTTTTCTCTTTTCCTCATTATAACCAGAAAAGAATTGAATAGCTATTATTTTACTGTGCACTATAGGAAGGAAGATGCCTCAAGCACATACATGCTTTTAAAAAATTATTTGGCAAGAGCACCAATTAACATTGGTAGCCTTTGCCATCCTACTGCTTGAGTCTATGAATTATTGTGCTTAACCTCATACCTTAGGTATGAAAGTCATATAGCCCAAGGGTATATAAATTAAATTTTGTTTAGCATCTAAGTGTCCACTTTCACAGATGAAATTGAGACTTGGGAGGTAAAGTAACTTACTAAATATTTTATCTTTTAAAAGTAAGAAGCAGTTTGAACCTATGTTTCTATGACTCAAAAATATTCTTTCTGGTGTCTCAGCGATTTCTTAACCAAACAGCCCTGGATTTAAAAGTGTTGGAGAAATTCTTCGGTTAGATTTTGTTAGTGTAAAAAATCAAAGTGAGAAGGGGAAATGATAATTAGCTTGTCTTTAATAACTTTGCTGTATAAGTAGAGAAGATATTACTTGTTACCAGCTTTAGCACCTGAGTCCATTAAGCAAAGCCAGGTATCTTAAGGTTCTGAATCCATTATCTGTTGAACTGAGGACAAATTAACAATGCACTCCTGATCCTTGCTATATTCAGTCAACTCAGGCTTCCTGTTAGATGCTCTTTCTCTAATTCATCATTCTCTTATTTCTTCATTTATAAGATAGGCCAATTTAAGATAATGGCATGCATGACCTGAGGAACTTCCCATTCATAAGTCTTTTCCAGGAGACAAATTTGGTATGAGAATTAAAACCAAAGCATCTTACATTGAGCATGCATGCACAAAAGCTGGTCATAAAGGAATGTTTCTTTTTTGAGAGAGATAAACTCTCAATAGACTATCCAGGTGAGTGTAGTATTTGGTTTCTGGCATCTATACAGTAAGTACCTAATTGACTGGTACCATAGTTTCTTTAGTCTCTAGGAAGATACAGGGTGGGTTAGCCAAGTTAACTTTGAGCCTCCATGTCCATATCTATGATTCTTCTTGTTTTTTAAATATTTTTATTTATTCATTTTTACAGAGAGGGGAAGAGAAGGAGAGAGAGGGAGAGAAATATCAGTGTGTGGTTGCCTCTTATGCATCCCCTGCTGGGAACTGGCCTATAACCCAGGCATGTGCCCTGACTGGGAATCGAACTGCGGTTGTTTGGTTCACAGGCCCTCACTCAGTCCACCAAGCTACACTATCTAGGGCTATGATTCTTCTTAATACCATTACTACCTACCCTCTTTCATTATGGATTATTTAAGGGACTTTATTCTGATCTCACTTGTATTTTTCTTTCCATAGGATGGATAGAATGACAGAAGATGCTCTTCGCTTGAATCTGTTGAAGCGGAGCTTGGACCCAGCAGATGAGCGAGATGATGTCCTGGCCAAGCGACTCAAAATGGAGGGGCATGAGGCCATGGAACGTCTGAAAATGTTAGCACTGCTCAAACGGAAGGATTTGGCAAATCTTGAAATGCCACATGAGTTACCCACCAAACAGGATGGCAGTGGTGTCAAGGGCTTTGAAGAGAAACTCAATGGAAATCTCAGGCCGCATGGAGACAACAGGACTGCTGGAAGGCCAGGCAAAGAAAACATCAATGATGAGCCTGTGGATATGAGTGCTAGACGGAGGTATGGCTTGATTCAGCTGCCTCCAGGGATAGATAGGGTCTTCTTATAAATGAAGCCTGTGAAAATGGAATGAATTTAATGAGAGGAGGGATTTTCATCTTAAGTTTCTTGAAAGAAGACAGATCTGTGCCATATGGCTTGACCCTGAATTCTTCTCATTTCCAAATGAAACCAGGTGCCTCAAAAATTTGCTTAGCATACAGAGAACCATAGTTCTTACCTTAAAATAAAGTGGCCATTTCTGGATAAAGGAGGCACTATAGTACTGATACCCCAATTAAGAGTGAGTTAATAATATACTTTTATTCTGATCTTACGGCTATTTTAGAAGGAAAAAAGTCTTTTTCTTCAGATCATTCCAGGAGTTTTAGGATCTGTTTATTACGGAGTCTCAGCTTTATTCATTAATTTTGTGTACCTACCAATTATGCTTTTTTTTTTTTTTTTAGATTTTATTTATTTATTTTTAGAGAGGAGAAGAGAGGGAGAACGAGTAAGAGAGGAACATCAATGTGTGGTTGTCTCTCAAGGCATCCCTTACTGGGGACCCAGCCCATAACCCAGGCATGTTCCCAGATTGGGAATCAAACCTGTGACCCTTGGTTTGCTGGCCAGCACTCAGTCCACTGAGCCACACCAGCCAGGGCCCCAGCTTTTATAACATCAAAAACAATATGGGCCCAGCTTTTCTTGTGTCAGCAAGGAAATTATCTTTCTGTGGTAATTCTCTACAGTTTTGCTTCATTTGTGCCCCTTTCCCCAACATATGTATACACATTCACTTGTACATGTACACTCATGCTTGTGCTCTTACACACACACACACACACAACACAACACAGCACAAGCAAACATTTTCACGGGCCTTTTTTCTGGTGTCTGTCAAGTGAGTACCTTGAAACTGGAGCACATACTAAGAGGTTCCTAGAACTAGCTGAGGGTAGTGGGTAGTAGAGCCTACCTTGACACTGAATCACAATATAGAAAAACTCTAGTTTTAAGAACATTCAGTTTGTTACGGTTCAGAAACAACTTAATAGGAATGAGAATTACTCTTCAGTGTTCAGTTGCCTTCCAGCTGACCTTCTGACTTTGTCCTAGAACTGATCCAAAGCAGGATCTTTAAACTGGACTGGTGTGAGAAAGAAGAAGAAAGGAGGAATGGTTATAACCTTATCTGAGTTTCTTTCTCTACCTTTTAACATTTACTTACTAGTATTTTCCCTGGATTATCTTTTTAAAACAAAACGCCCAATAAAGGAACATTATTCTTAGTATAGCATTAAAAACCCTTAGGAAATTTCAGATAAGTTCCCTAGTAGCCCTGGAAGAGGAAAAAAAGTATTGGGAGCTATAGGTAGTGTCAGCAGAATGTTATGAAAGTAGGTTAATCCTTAGTTCTTTTGGGGAAAAAAGAAAGTGGATGAATGAGATCATGTACCTGAGCAACCCACTTGTCCCATAATCACTCTTCCCCCTCTGGAGCCAGTGACTAATTCTATTTCACTGGGGAGGAAAAAGAGGAAAAATTGTTAGGTGGGTTTCTCACATCCCAAATTGGAGCAGAAGATGTATTTTTCATAGAAACATTGTTACACATTTTGGTAAGATCTCATTGGTGCTATTGGAATTATAAAATATCAAAGATAAATTCTATTTTAAAAAGTCAGGCTACCCTGAAAACCCTACTATTGCTTTTAATTTTATTTTAGAGGGCTGGCCTTTCGAAACAGTCCTCTAGAAACTGGGAGTCTTTTTTAATGGTCCTCAGGGCAAGAAGCTTGATGTAAACCATGTAGAACCCCATTCTAATGGAAAAATAAGGTCGTGTTGGACAATGTCTTTTTCCCATTCACCAGATATACTGACAGCTATTTCCACTTAGTCCCAAGGTTTTCATAAGAATGAATAAGATTAATAGAGGGCTCAGTAAGAACAATGACTTAGTTGATATGGATAAAAGGAGAGAATTTAAAAGCAGAAAGAAGGAAGTGCTCTTGCTATCGTAGCCATATCATAACTGCCTAAGTATCTTTTTTTTTAATCATTTGGGCAAGTTACATCTACTGTGAAATAAGGTAAATATGAAACTAGTGCTGCTTATAGTTTGTAATGCCAGTTTACATGGCAGTTTGGGGTTTTTTTGTTTAGTTTTTATTACTGTGGTCTTAAGGATTAGCAGTTTTATAGTTTCTGGGAACCTGCCAGTCTGAGGCACAAGTGATGTCAGCAGCAAGTCCAGCTTTTATAATGTCTCTCTAACAGGTAGTGTTTCATACTTAAGAACACAAAATACTGTAAATCATATATATGAATTTCTGTCCCTGGAGAATTTAATAAATTAAGCCAGAATTTCAGGTCAAAAGTTAATTAAAAACTTGAGGAATGAAATGTGACTTGAGCTTTGTCTTACCTGTGCTGTCTTACTAATGTGGGTCTGATTATATCTGGAAATAAAATACCATTTAGAGCCATGGCTCAGTTGATTAGAGTGTTGCAGGTTTGATTGCTGGAGAGGGCACATGCCTGGGTCCCTAGTCTGGACACCTGTGATCCCTGGTCCTGGTGATCCGCAGCATGGACACCTGCCATTATGTAGCTGATTGATTCGTCTCTCTCTCCCTTCCTCTCTCTCTAAAAACAATGAAAAAATGCCCTCAGGTGAGGATAGGTAAAAAAGAAAAAAATACATTATTTAGGGTTCTCAGATACAGCTCCCTAATAGATGCCACTCAATTGCAAAATCTCCATCCAGGAATGTCTCTGCCTGTCTTGTTGCCAGACAATCCCTAAGCAGTTGGTAGGTGGCACTCATTTGAGCAAGGAAGAATTCCTTAACTTAGAAATAATCTGTGGTGTGTGTATCCAGCAGGGACCAAAATGGAAAGAGCTTACTGTTGATGTAAACACTGGGGAATCAAGTAGAAGTAGAAATCTACCAGAGCTCAAAATTGTTCACCCATGTAAGTGTTAGGGGTGGTGGAAAGATAATACAGAAATGATAAATAAAGTCACCAGAAAAAAGAATTCACTTTATTTATTCCTGACCATTACTTTAGGAACTTGGAGTTAGAGAATGAAAGGTTCTTTTTTTCCTTTATTGGCTTCTTTTTCTATAGCCCCACATTCTCAGCTTGCTGTGTCTGTGGCCAGTGGTTATAGAGTAATGCAGGAAAATGTAATAGTTCCCAAGATATTCTTATTATTCTGTCCCCTAATTCTATTTCCTGAGCTAAATTTGGTTGATTTTGTAACTCCGTTTTACTGTGTAGAGAAATTGAATGCCTATGCAACCATCCAGGGTGCCTAGTTTAAAAGGCATGTGTGTGCCATGGCCAGTGTGGCTCAGTTGGTTGGAGGGTCATCCCATAAATGAAAGGTTGTAGGTTCAATCCCTGGTCTGGGTGCATAGGGGAGACAACCAATTGATGTTTCTCTCACATCAATATTTCTCCCTCTTCCTCCTTCTCTCTAAAAGCAGTGAGAAAGTGTCCTCCAGTGAAGAATTTTTTTAAAGGGGGCAGGGGCACTTGTGCCAACAGCAGCTGAGTCAAGAAGCCCCAAGAAATGGTAGACAAGCTCTCAGGACTAAAGATTTTGAGTTACATGTTTAAAAAGACCTAAGAACACATTGCTTTAGACCTATATACTCTGAAGTACAGTGAAGAACTCAGGGAAATAGGGTCTGGGAAGATACTTTGAGTTGAGAAAGTAGAAGAGAGGAAGAAGATCTGCACTGACTTGGAAACCTAGTCAGTTAGAATTTCCAGGATTCTTGTTACCCAGGTCTTAAGCAGTGAGTGCCATTTTTCATCATCTTAGAGAAACAAGTCTGATTCTTTTAAGGCTAACTCCGCAAAGACCAAAACTAGAGTTGTTTAGTAAATAGACTCTAAGGAAACCAGTGTGAAAGATTTAGATTTGCAAGTCATTTCTAGACAGTTTCTTTCTGAGGATGATACTCAGTAGAACTCTGGCAAGTAGGTGCAAGTTCCATATATATTTACATCTGAAGTTTCAGTCCTCCAGAAGGCTGTAGACATTGTACTTGGCATTGTCCATTCCCTCAAGCCATTGAGAACAGTACCTTCTTTTGCCTTAACTCTTGACAGGATAGACTATCTTGGAGTTGCAGTATAACCTCCTTTCTTATAATTCCTCAGAGAGCCAGGACCGTGTTGTTACTGGTAGAATGAGTTGCCTCCTTCAGCAGTGTGTCTGTCAGCTGTACCAAGAGTGGGCAGCTAGGCTTTACTGCCTGTGCTCTTCTTCCCCTGTCAAGCTAACCATTTTCTTCTTGCTTCTGTATAACTAATGAGACAACCCAAAGGAGAGTGAGGTGCAGGAAAAACATTTAGAATTTTTATTTAATCAGTATGAAATGAACGCTCCTTTCTATTTCTAAACCCATTGTCTTTGTTTCAGCATCCTCTGTGAAGAGTTTAGACAGAAAAAGTACCTTTGTAGAGGTTTTTTCATTACTCACATTTTAGTGTCTTCTTTATTCTAAGATTCGAGTTCTCTGTCTTCCCTGGGTGAATTGGTTCAGACCAAAGTTGCCTTGGATTTCTTTGTTGGGTGTAGAAAAGAAGTTTCTTAAACTTTTCTATAAACCTTCACTGTTGGACATACCTTATTTTTTTTCTATTTTGTTGTTTAGTGAGCCAGACCGAGGAAGGCTAACTCCCTCCCCAGACATCATTGTTTTATCTGATAATGAGGCTTCCAGTCCTCGTTCCAGCTCCCGAATGGAAGAGAGACTCAAAGCAGCCAACCTAGAGATGTTTAAGGTAAAAAAAAAAAAAAGGCAGAAAAAGAGAAAAGTTTTTCTTACTACCTTTATTCTCTTTAATTCTGTAAGAGTCCCACTTCTGGTTTTCTTATGGTTTACTTTTTAGATCTAAATACTTACCCATTGATGATACTTTGTAAATAATTATTAACCTCAGTGGAACTTTTGAAGGGAACTGTTAGAATCAAGTGGAGAAGTTAGTTTGAAATAGCATGTTCAATAGAATTTATCTTTGGAAAATGAAAGTGAAACTTTATAATTCAAGTCATATAAAATAAACTCTTGTCTGAAAGGATACCCTCTATACTCTGTCCTGGGTCTCAAAATATGGAGGGTTCCCTAAATTTTTATGTATGTCTAGAGGAAATATGGCTTTAAAAGATTTAGAAACATTATTTTAAAGGAAAGCAGTGTCTCCCTTTGGCCATTCTTATATTTTGCCAGTAATATGGTTGATCAGCATTTATATGTGGTCTCTCCTTTCATTCTGTAAGTATTTTGGAGTACAGCAAGTCTTTGAATAATGTCATTTCATTCAATGTCATTATCTTACAGTGTTGATGAGAAGGGGAAAAAAGTGAATTCCCAGCCTGGGCCAGTGTCTGTGTGGAGTTTGTTTATCCTCTCCATATCTGTGTAGGTTTTCTCTGGGTACTCTAGTTTCCTCCCATATCCCAAAGATGTGCATATTAGGTTAAATGGCGTGACTCATCTGTCAGTCTGAGTGGCCTGTGGGTGTGGGTTTGAGTTTGCCCTCCGATGGAAAAGTATCCTGTGCAGGGTCAGCTCCCAGGATAGGCTCTGACCACTGCCAACCCTGAATTGAAATAAGTGAGTTGGAGAATAATTGTCTTATTTGTTTTTATTAATTTTCCTTAAATATGTATAGAGCTTACATTTATTTCCGTGTTTTATATTAGAAGTATTTTGGTCTTTATTTAAAAGTTTGGTAATGTTTTTGTGACCAGAAATATGCTATAAGAACTAAACTGTTGTTTATATGCAGTCTATGGCAAAATTGGTTCCATTAAACATCATTTTACTTCAAGTCATAGTTTTCAAGATCCTACTGACAATGTTAAGTTAGGACTTAACTGTACCTACTGAATACCAGGCATAGTACCAGACCTCAGTGACACAAAGAAAACAGTCCTATCACCACTTCTGCTTCTTGTGGAAGATGAGGGTTTCAGACCTAAAAGAAGGTATTATATTGCAGAGCTGACAATCTCCATGTTTTTTTAGGGGAAAGGCATTGAGGAACGGCAGCAGCTCATCAAGCAGCTGAGGGATGAGCTGCGATTGGAAGAAGCTCGACTGGTGCTGTTAAAGAAACTGAGACAGAGTCAGCTACAGAAAGAGAATGTGGTGCAGAAGGTAATGTGCCCTAGAAAAAAGGGGTGGGGAGAGGAAAGAAAAGCTGATTTGAGAATGGGCTTAACCTACTTCAGGTAGGTTAAGCTGAGTGGCTTGTTACTCTCTTTTTCTATGGTTTTTAGTCTCTAGAAATAGTGTTTTTTCTGTTAGGCCTTAATCAAGAAAATTTTGATTTTTTTTTTCCATTTTTCCTCTTGGTCAGTGAGAGTTTCACATTAACAAAGAACTTTAAAAATTTAGAAGTATACTAACTTCTGTCTCTTTAGCTTTTTCTAACTGTTTGACTTTCTATTTTCCCAGACTCCAGTTGTACAGAATGCAGCATCTATTGTTCAGCCATCTCCTACCCATGTGGGACAGCAGGGCCTCTCTAAGCTTCCCTCTCGGCCTGGGGCCCAAGGGGTTGAACCTCAGAATTTGAGAACATTACAGGTATGTAATCCATAGAGGGATCTTACTGTCAGAGGGCCCTGTTTATCTTCTCTCTATTTCAGGACTTTTATGAAAATTATAGAAGAGCCCAGCCGTGACAAAGGTGTTATTCCTACAGACAGTCCTGTTGGAACTTTGTGGCATGATTTAGCCTGCAGTAGAAGGATGGATAATGTTCATTTTTCCACTGTATTTTTTTTTAGAGAATGTTTTCAGTTCAGCCCTTTTTCATATAGGGTTGGATAGCTTATACCCAAAATAGATAAATAAATAAAAGCCAGGAAATTCCTAGCCACTATTCAGGTTTACAGTGATGGTAGATTTATCTCATAGATCATTAGGCACAATTACTAAGTCTGACTATGTTTCTGTATTTCTACTCAGCTGTGTGTTAAAAGCAGTGTGTTCTCTTTAGCATTTTACCACCTATGACGAATTCTCGTCTTCCCTTTCAGGGTCATAGTGTCATCCGTTCAGCAACTAATACCACCCTCCCACACATGTTGATGTCTCAGCGTGTTATTGCACCAAACCCAGCCCAGCTGCAGGGCCAGCGGGGCCCACCTAAGCCTGGCCTCGTACGCACCACAACACCCAATATGAATCCCACCATCAATTACCAACCGGTAAGAGAAAGCCTTAATGTGAAAACACAGAAATCTTCTGGTTGCTTTCTCAGTTGAAAGAACCATAGATTTTATGTTTTTGGACAAAAGAAACTAGGACACAAGGATAATTTTGGTGGAACTTGGACAAGTATCACAAAAACAGAAGCATTGAAGAATTATACAGAAGTAGAGATGGAAAATGGAGGTTATACAGCAAAGCACCAATAAGCTAAATCTGCCCAGAAGAAAGATGGAGGGATCTAAGGAATGAGGACAGGATGTATGACAGAAAGCATCTTTAATTTTTTTTCCCTTAGCAGTTTTAGCTCATAGCCACTATCATTCTCCTTTCCTTCGTGCTGCAGTTCTTTTTCAGTGAAGAAATTGGACATCTCCTGTCTTTTCCGGAATTTTGGGGGAGCTAAGTAGTCCAGACTAGAATCAAATAGTGTTGTCTGCCACAAAAGCAAGAATTGGTCCTTTTTCCCACATACCGTCACTGACACCTGTACTCGATCTGTTTCAGCAGTCAAGTTCTTCTGTTCCCTGTCAGCGCACAACATCCTCTGCCATCTATATGAACCTTGCCTCCCATATCCAGCCAGGGACCGTGAACAGAGTGTCCTCACCACTTCCTAGCCCCAGTGCCATGACTGATGCTGCCAACTCACAGGCTGCAGCCAAATTGGCTCTTCGCAAACAGCTGGAAAAGACACTCCTGGAGATTCCACCTCCTAAACCTCCTGCTCCCTTGCTTCACTTTCTGCCTAGTGCAGCCAATAGCGAGTTCATCTACATGGTAGGCTTGGAAGAAGTTGTACAGAGTGTTATCGACAGCCAAGGTAAGACTTTTTTATCAGGTCAGTCTTTTTATTGAAGCAAGAGGTTACCAAGCCTAATTGACATAAGCAGAGTGTCACAGGGTATTATGTAATATTAAATAACCTCTTGTATATATTGTGTATTTTGTCTCTTGTGTGTTTTTTGCAGTGTATCATTTATTTCTTTTAAATGGTGCCTAGCATGATTCGTGTATAATTTGATGACAGGGAAACTTACTACTTTTTAAATTTATTTATTTTTAGAGGGGGGTGGGGGGAATATTGATTTGTTCTTCCACTTATTTATACATTCATTGGTTGATTCTTATTTGTGCCCTGACTGTGAATTGAACCTGCAACCTTGGTATATCAGGATGACACTCTAACCAACTGAGCTACTTGGCCAGAATTAGAACACTTCTTTTTTGATGTCAGTATTTATGGGGTATTGTGCTACATTATTATATTCAGTCCCTGCCATTTGAGTATTTATAGTTGAGAAAATAGACACACTGCTATAGATAACTATGACCACATAAAAACTTGTGAACACTGAACCAGACTATAAAGTATTAACACTGTACAGTCTATACAAACAGAAGTTATTAGTAAGCCTGAATTCTTAAACATATGGACTTAGGTGAATACCTAACAGTAAAGTGCCTAAAGGGCTCAATAGTAGCTAGAAACAGATCACAAAGTAAATAATTTAAGCACTGATAACTAAAACTTACAAACATATGTGACAAAGGTAAATGTAGTCTGAGGTAAAGAGATGCTAAGAAGTGTCCTGACTGGTGTGGCTCAGGGGGTTAGGCACAGTCCTGCAAACCCGAGAGAGAGAGAGAGAGAGAGAGAGAGAGAGAGGGAGAGAGAGAGAGAGAGAGAGAGATGCTAAGAAGCAAAAGTATTGGCTGAGTTAGCCGGAGTCCTTTGATCACTTAGGAGCTATCTTTCTTGGACTCCATTTTCTCTTTTGTAAATGGGGATAGTGGTGTCTGAATTCACTAAAGTAATATTACAATCAAAGGAAATAAAAGTATTTTATAAACTATAGAGTTTTTTTTGTTTTTGTTTTTTTTTTTTTTTTGTAGAGTCTCTTTCTTAATTCAGAAGGATAGACTCCTGGAGAAAGATTGATTTGATGAAAAGAAACAGTAGATAGGGAGGAAATGTGAAACCACTGATTATCCTTCTTGTTGGCATCTAGGCAAAAGCTGTGCCTCACTTCTGCGGGTCGAACCCTTTGTTTGTGCCCAGTGCCGCACAGATTTCACCCCTCATTGGAAGCAAGAGAAGAATGGTAAGATTCTATGTGAGCAATGTATGACCTCCAACCAGAAGAAGGCTCTAAAAGCTGAACACACCAACAGGCTGAAAAATGCTTTTGTTAAAGCCCTACAGCAGGAACAGGTAAGATTTCTGACTTCTTACCAGCTACTTACTTGCCCAGGTTGAGTTTTCCCAAAAGATAGTTACATCTAGTTTAGGGGGGCTCTCTATGTGATCCCCACAGTCCTGGTGACTAGTTTTCTGGATCTATGTTTCTAGAACCTAGAGGCCTGGGTTCCCTTTTTTCCTACTTACCATCTGTCTTTCCCATTTCCATTTGATTATTATTTCTGATTGGGTAAGAGTTACACTAGTAAATGTTATATAATGGCTGAGGTTAAGGGAAAGGGGCAGAAAGCTTGAGACTCTTGGCTTTCCCTGTTTATTCTTGACTTCATTTCCTCCTCAGACAGATAGATTTTGATGGGAGGGATTTGTATTTGTATTAGATATCTCTTTGAGAGAAATTATTATCTGCAATCTATATTCGATAATGAGATGACAATGAAAGGGCATATTATAAAGTGGCCTAGTGAAGATTAGTGGTACTAGAGTATGTGAACACCTCCTGCAGTATTAATACAATGAGTCTCTCTTGAAGAGGGGAGGATGTGTTGAGAAGCTCAGATTCTTTGCCTCTATCCTACTTTCTACCCCACCACCCATCAGACCCCTTTGGGTAGCATCATGGACCTTCTGGAAAATTGGTAGACAGGAGCCAAAAAAAAAAACAAAACCTCAGTAACTTATCAGCCTTAATTATGTCAGTCAACTCATCGCCACTACCCAGATCTCTCCAGTTAACTTCTGAGAGCCAGCTTTTTTGGAGAGAGGGACCGCTTAATCAGTGAAGCGTCTTGGCTACTCATACCCAGAGATCTTCATACACCTACCCTCCCCACTCAAACTCTTCTCCCTTTTCCATATCCCTCTTAACTAGTTAGCAACATTAGAGATAAGAAGACCTCTAGGTTTTCTGGTTAGGAAATTGGGTGCCGTCCTGCCCAACTTGACCTGGTGACTCCCAACAGGAAATTGAACAGCGATTACAGCAGCAGGCAGCCCTCTCCCCCACTACGGCTCCAGCTGTATCCAGTGTCAGTAAGCAAGAGACCATAATGAGACATCATACGCTTCGGCAGGTAAGGATTTTTCTCAAGGGTCTGTCAGTCATTTATCCCTACTTGTTTTTCCTTCTGTAGGAAATCATACTATAATTTTCCACTTCTATATCCCTACCTCCCTCTGCCTTAAACCTTCCATCGTGGCAGAGTTGTGTTGAACTGTCTCCTCATCATTGCAGGCTCCACAGCCCCAAAGCAGCCTCCAGCGCGGCATACCCACATCCGCCCGTTCCATGCTCTCCAACTTTGCACAGGCACCTCAGCTGTCTGTGCCAGGTGGCCTCCTTGGTATGCCAGGTAAGAAGGGTTGATTTGAGAACTTTTCTCGGGGATTGACTAGTTAGTACACAATTCTTTAGCAGCTTCTTTAAATGAATTGTTCCTTCTTTTGTTTTCTGCTCTTTAGGTCCTACTCCATTCACTCTTTTGTCACTCAGCAGATGTTTGCTAAATTCATATTACATGGCAGGCACAGTGCAGTAGGATCTCGATGGCAAAAATGGCACAGTCTCTGCCATTGGAAATTTAGTGTCTCATATGCCCCTTGGTGGGCATATGGTTATTGACCCCTTTTGGCCACAACAGCAGGGTCAGCTGTCCTAATCCTGTTTGAATGATCCAGGGACGCCTCCCCCCAGTCAACAACCCCAAAACCAAAGTGGATTCAGTGATTTCATCTCTTTGTCTTGGTTATTTTCTTCTCACAACTGGGTTGTGGTTTTTTTTTACTCTTGTACATCATCAAGACATCGTGTTTATTGTTCCTGATAGAATTGAAGTTTCAGGAAAACCTCTTTCCCTAAAGCTTGAGAGCAGAGGAATAGTTGGTATGGAAATAAAGCTTAACTGAGTCTAGACAGAAGTAAGCAACTTCTGATATTTTCTCCCCATTTCCAACTCTGTAGCCCCAAGTGTAGCAAAAGAAGGCATCATTTCCTTTTTTAATACCTGTCTTCCAATTTTGTGTCTTGGGTCTAGGTGTCAACATTGCATACTTGAACACTGGCATCGGAGGACACAAAGCCCCCAGTTTGGCAGACCGACAGCGGGAATACCTTTTAGACATGATCCCTCCCCGGTCTATATCGCAGTCCATCAGTGGACAGAAATAACGCCTGTTCCACTTGTACTGCCCCACCCTTGAATTCTTTACCCCCCCCCCCCCCCCCGTTGGCCCCAACTTCCGTCGCATGCAGTGCCTGTACTGGTGCCTACCATACACGGAAAACAAAACAGAAGACAAAAAATAGAAATCAACAAGAAAATGTATGCCCTGCCCCACTCCCTCCCCTTTGTTTCACACTGCTGCCGTCTGTTCTTCTACCACTCTGTCTCTTCTCTTCAGTTTCAACAGTGAGGTGGATCTTCGCCTCTGGTAGAGGTCAAAATGAGGTCCTGGGGAGAAACCTAAGCCCTCTGACGAGTGTTTCTAAAGTTTGTTTTTATGCTATAATTATTATTATTAATGATGTTGCGTGCCCTCCCTTGTTCAGTGGACGGTTAGACCTTTTTATTTTCCCCCAATATTTTTCTTTTTCTTTTTTGGTTCTTTTTCTTTTATATATATATACACACAAGTGACATTCAGTTAAATGATAGGAGCATTGCAGTAGGGTCCCAGCTGCCAGGTAGGACATGACTAGGAGTGTTAGGGCAGAAGTTTTATGCACTTAACCAAGGGGGGGGGTGCTGGTGGCATCAGGCGAGAAGGACCAGCACGCCCACTGTGGAGTCTCTGGGCTGGGCAGTGTGGAAGGCAGTGGTCGGTAGTGAAGTTGGGCTCCTGTGAATGAGGGGAAAGAGCCTAGAGGGAGAAGCTTTAAAACTTGACCACCTGGAATGAGCTCGTAGAGAAGGAGGAGAAAGGGGCATGATGATGAGCATAATGTTGAGCCAAGGAGGACTGAGACCAGTTCCTGGCCTTCAGGATGCTGGGGGAATAAGATTGGTCTCATGACCCCAGTGGAAACATGAAAGTATATTCCAGGCCAACTAGCCCAAAATAATTATTTCATCTTTCTTCATAAAAAAATTTTCCCCACCCCTACTTTTTTTTTTTAATCCTAATCTGCCCCTGGTAACCACAGCCCCATTTGTACTACAGAGGGATGGCTGTTCCCTTCCTGACTTGGCTGGGAACCCTAGAGCTGGAATGGACATGAATGAGTAAAATGGCAAAGAGGAAATAGGCTTAGAGGAAGGAAGAAGGGCTTTCCCTCTTGAAAACCCGAGGCTCACATTCTTCTCTCTCTTCACCCTCTGAGTGCCAGGAGGCAAGGGCACCTGCTCAGATCGGAGTCCTGCTGCGACCCTGCTGCACTAATTGCAGAGCCAGCTGCTCAGAACCAGGCCCCTGGTGTCCACACCAGCTTCAGGCCTCCACCAAAAAAGTATTTGTCACAACCCCTCCTCCCCCATTCCCAAGTTTGATTAATTTTGCCTTTTTTTTCTTTTCTCTCTTAAGCGCTACTAATATAGAGAATGAATTGAATCGTGCAATGTTGCTGTTCTGGGAACTGGGGAGATTAGCATCCCATTTGCCCATACCATGGGGGAGGGGGAGGGGACCAGACTGTTTTTGAGGTAAGGGAAGTCCTGTAAAGGTGGGGTTTCTGCTCTCATAGTGTGTACCCGTCTGCCTCCAGCTCTGGAAGCTAGTGCAACGCGAGGGAGGGATGCTCTCAGCGCAGAGATGGGAAGAGGACTCGAACGTTTTGCCCTTGAAAGCCACCTGGGGAAGTTCCCCCACTTTTATTTCTTAAAATTTATTTTTTAAAAGTAAGAAGGCACTTTTAAAATTAACACACACACAAACCGCACATCTTTCCCGAAGTTTGGGGACGGGATGGGAGAAGGAGCTAGAATCAGGCTCAGTTCTTCCCACTCTGGCCTCTATTTCCCATACCCCAGAGCCACTGTGGGTGATTATACTGGCCCTGTAGGCCTTCCTGGCTTTTGTCTTTCCTCCCTTCCCCCAATTCATTGAGCACTTAATAAAGGAGCAGAGATACAGCCTGTGTCTGGGCTCCCCCAATAGTGAAATGATCTGGAAGCTAGACACTAGTAACAGGTAGTGATGGGGTCATTTCGAGTATTTTTCTGGGGAATGTGGTGCCCCTGACTGTAAGTGGTGGTGGGGGGGAGTAATGGAACTGGGTGTGGGATTATTTTAAAATTATATATATATATATATATAAAGATATATTCTTACATCTTTTCTTTGCCCTCTGTGCTTTGAAAGCACTGGATAAATCGTTTGGTTTTGCTTTTCTCTCTTCCATGAAATTGGAAGCTTTTTTTAAAAATATATTTCCCTACAAGTCATCTTGCCTTGTGGCATGTCTTTTTAGCTTCTTCCTCTCCCCCCACCCATGATGAAGTGCCATTTCTGTTATCTCCCCTCCCCCAGCTCAGAGGCACTCAAGAGGTATGATGTGCCCAAGTTTGTCAGTTGAGATTAAAAGTAAGGAACAGAGAATGTGCAATATCGTTTGGCTGGGGCTGTCCCTGCCCTGAGCTGAGCCCCTTCCCTGGGAGCCAGGCCACCTTTGAATAGGGTTTGGGAGTAATATGTGTAGAGAAGGGGGAATGATGGGGAAGGAAATCCTGTAGCTGGGTGCCTGCCAAGGTGCTGAGGCGGTGGGGGAGAGGGTGGAGTCTTCCCTGTTTTTATCCCCTCAGGGTCAATTACATAGAGGCTGCTTATTAACTAGTATAGCTCCGTGACCCTTGGCTCAATCACTGAGGTTTAATTTCTTACTCTCCCCATTTTCATACCCTTCCCAGGGATTAGTGATGGGGGTAAGGTTTCCCTAATCATGGTAAAGTATTAGCCTTCCACCTCCTTCCTTCGTTCCCTCCCTCTCCCCTGTGCTTCTGTCTTCCTCATTTCTTCACTTTTTCATCACTCATTGCTTTGTATCCCTCCAAGCCTGTTGTTGCTGTCCATCCCTAGGCCCTGGGCCCCATAGACACTAAACCTCGTGTTCTAAAGATAGGAGGACAGGTTCTCTGTTCAGTTATCCTTTACACTCTAGAGCTCTGAAGCTCAGGGTCATATAGTGAGGATCGCACTAGTTCTGCCTGGCTTTCTCCATCTCCAGAGACTCTCAAAGTAGTTTACGGACAGTGGCTTATTCACTAGAACCTTGAAACGGGTGGATGAGTGATGAGGGTGAAGCTGAGGGACAGAGGTCTTTATTCGTCTCTCTCTCTCTCTTTTTTTTTTTTTTTTTAATTACTTGACCACAGCATCTGAACTTTCTTTCCTCCATCCTTGGAATAAGTATTTTTTTCCACATTTTTGGATGTATGTATGGTAGACATTTTTTTTTTAAGACAGAGATAAATGTGTTCCTGCTTTGGTTACCTTTCCTTTCCCCCTTTAAAAAGAATTAGCTGTAGAACTGCTTTGTAAAGATGCTTCTTGATATTTTACGTTTGTTCCTTTTCCCAACCACTCCCTTTTCTCCACTCCTCCAGAAGGCATAACCCTTCTCAGCACCCACCCAACCCCAGTCCTAGGTCCGTTCCCCTCCAACAAGACCTTCATTAGCTTATGATATTTGCTGCGGAGATGTTATAACAAGGACTCATTCGTGTATATAAGCTATTTCTTGATCCATTTAAAAGGAATTGTACATTGTGTAGAAAAAAAAACTGAAAAAGAGAAAAAAAAGCCCTAGCCATGGATATTGTGAAACCGTGTTATGTCATTTTGTAATGTGCCCGTTTGTGTATGATCCGTGCAAAAGGGTTTCTGGGGAAGGGGTGGGGGTTGGGAGGCAGGGCTGTGGAGGGTGGGTAGGGGAGTGGGCCGGGCCCAGCACACTGAGACTGGCAGCTGCTCCAACCCCATCCCTCCGTAGAGATGCCACCTCCCCCACCACCCACCCCTCATTTGTGCCTTGCCTCCCCACCCTGGAGTATTCCCTCTGGGTCACCAGCACTGCCTTGGCAGAGCCCACTCCCTATTCTAACCTTGCCCACCCTCCCGAGCCCCCAGCATTAGGTCGATACTGTGGGGAAGTGCTGGGGGTTGGGAGGTAGCCGAGGAATGGGGCCGTTCCCCGGGGGCATTGAAACCAAGTATTATTATGAATTGTAATTGTATTTGCACTGTTTTTTTCCTCTTATTGCATCAACATATATACAATATACCTATATAACAAAATTTAGTGTCAAGCTTTCTTATGCAAGGGATTTCCCCTACCTCACCTTCCCCCCTAAAAAAAGAACCTAGTTTCATGGGCCTTTGAGGGGGGATTGCCAGGGGACAATAGAAAGGCCTTTAACAAGTCATCCTAAGAAAGTCTCACTGAGGGAGAGCCACATCCATCAGGATTTTAGGCTTCGTAAATTGGGGTGAGGCTGGGCTAGTGTGAAAGCTGAGGCTCCTCGTCCAGACTGGAGAGTAAAAAGAACCACAGCACACAGGCGGGTGGGGTGGTGGCACAGTCTGGAGACCTAGGGTCACATCCCAAACTTTCCTAGTTAGTATGGTAGAGTTCAGTTTCTGGATCTCAGTTTTCTTACTTGTGAAATGACAGTGGAAATCATCTTGCCTCCAAGTTAATTCCATGCCTCTTCCCCAACCTGCAAAACAACTTGAGGTGAGGAAAATGTTGGGCTGAATAACCAGAGAGGAAAGCAGAGTTGACTAGTGCTGAAGTGGTTATATGTGTGACAATGCCCTTGGAGAGCTGCCAGGCCTCTGCTGTTACTTTTGGTTTGGGAAAGGCAGCCGTGATGTCTAGGACATCAGTAGACCTGTGACATCTTTGCCCTCATTCCTCTAGTCATTTGAGGACACGGACCAGGCCTCAAAGCCCACTTCACAGGGCCCTGAAGGGTGGTGGACTAGTGAATGCCCCAGGTTAGTGGTCTGGTGACAGCTCCTTTGTGAGCTCCCCTGTCATGGTGACACAGCAGGAGAGCTCAGACACGTGGTTCTCATCTTGTCTCCTTCCCTCATATCCCATCTGAACCCCTAAAGGCAGCTGTCTCGCACAGTCTATCTCCTTCAGGGGCCCAGTTTCCCCACAGCCTGGGTTGAGCACTCCCAGATGCTTTGGGTTCTTGGCTGGTAAAGCCTGGAGAGAACACAGGGTGATGGGTGAGGCCCTGTTGAAGGTGGAAGGATAGACTGGGGTGGGGGGTGGGGAGCAGGGAGGTGGGATGGGGAATGGCCTTCTCTGAATGGGGTGGGTGGGAGGGGAACAAGACCCTTTTGCACAACTCTCTTTTAAGTTTCTTTTTTTTTTTAAACTCATTCTGATTTTCTGCATTGTGTTTGGGAATTAAAATGAAAAAAACTAAGACCAATAGAAACTGGTTTTCAAAAAGGCAAATACACTCCCATCTGTTTCAGATGCTGCTGAGCATTTCAGCAGTGACAGATTCAAATAATAAGCTAATTTTTGGAGAAAGGATTAAAAGAAAAAAAAAACTTTGTAATATTTATCACTTGCAAGCTATGTTTAATAAAGAAAGGAATGGTTTCTAAACTTTCCTGTGGCTCATGCTTCAGTCGCGCTGGGGTGGCGGTGGCGGTTTGGTGGGAGAGATGTCAGGGCAGTTGGGAGATTCGTGTTGTGGGTTTACTCCCTGGGGTCATGGGGCACTGTGGGTTTGTGCCTTCTCCTTCCATTGTGATGATTATTTAAAGCCCTTACCTGTTTTTATATTCATGTTCTTCTCCACCTTGTGTGCAGTCAGTATTCCGGAAGCCACTGACCCCACTTTAGTTTCCTGATGACTTAGGATCTAAAGGTATTTGGAAGGAAGGAGCATTTAATCCACAGCCTGGGTGTTCCCTAGCCACCCTAGCCCTTACCGTCACACTGCTCCAGTCCTTAATGACCGAGTCCTTTGTAATGTGCTGGTTTCTCCATCTGGGGACCTTAAAACAACAGCTCGCACTGCTCTTTTCTTAGCAAACTGCAAAATGGTTCCTTACTGTGCATGCACCATCCCCTGAAAGACCTGGAATGCTCCATCTTACCACCCCACCAACCCACTCCCTCTTATTTTCCTTTCAACCCAGAACATTAACCAGATCCCAATTTATTTTTCCATTTTTTTTATTTTCAGTAAAGCACTTAGACCAGGCTCACCCAGAGGAGAGGACGTCATTTCCCCCAAGGATTTGAAGTTTGAGGCTGTTCTTAACCTCTGGTCCCCTGCCACAAGCTGCTTCTCACAGGGAGGAGCAGTTCAGGTGGCGGGGGCCTTACTGGAGTCTCGCCATTGGAACTAGCATCACTTTATAAGAGCACAGGGGAGATGATGTTTAGGGTCCCCTAAACCTTGGGTTTTCCTTCCTCCAAGACCCTCCTCACCTTTTTGGCACAATACTGGACAGCCCCGGAGGGAGAGGCTGTTTGAGGGACAGCCCGGGACTTTGGCTTTAGGGGAAGGTAGAGTGGGATGGGGAGGGAGAGTGGGGTCCTGGGTGCCATGGGCTCGCAGAGGGCGGAATGGGAGAGAGGCATTCTTAGGACACCTGGAATTGAGGGGAATGGATGGGTGGGATCCTTTATGCCTTCTGTATTCACTCCACACAGGATTCAAGACCACCAAAAATCCAGTTCAAATTAATACCTCCTTTCAAAAATAGAAACCGAGTAGGAAGGGATGCCCCCGAAAAGGGGCCAGTGCTTTTGGATCTAGAAAGGGAGAGATGCATACTTGATTGCGCAGAGAAGCAGCTTACGTGAGCTCAGAAGTTCAGGCCTTTTACGGTGCTGGGACAAGGAGGCGAGGAACTCAGCACTCCCACTGCCCGCTGCCCACTCAGACCACAAGGAAAGGGGTTTCCCGTCCCCAGGGCATACCTCAGCATGGGCACTAGTAGACAGATCTCAGACTAGGGATTCTGGTTCTGAAATGTAGGCAATGACAGCCCCTGGCCCTGCCTCCCCGCTTTGGGAGGAACCCTTAAACCTGTATGTCTTTGGGTAGGCTCATACATTTGAAGCAAGAAGATATTCTGGATGGGGTTATGAGGCAGGAGTGATGCGGTTGGGATAACTTCCAGCTGGTTTAGTTTGAGGTTATTTGATGTATAGGGGGGGACAAAGGTTCTCCCCTGCCTTGAGGAGGGAGGAACAGAAACCACACCCTTGTCTCTCTCCCCGTGGTCAGGCCTACCCCTCTGTGGAGAAAGACTGAAGGACCTTTGGTTCTTAACTGACTGGGTGGCAGGGACAGTGAGGTAGATTCTTTGGTGGGGCTGGAGTTAGTGTCATCTAGGAGAAAGTGAACTTGGAGGGCTGCAGGCTAAGATTGGCTGTTCCATGGTCACCTGAAGAGGAAGGAGGTGGTCAGGTTCTTGGTCCCAGGGCCTCAGACACACCACTTTCCCCTACCCACTCCCCTCATTTGAATCCCTTCACCTGGGGGGTGTCTTCTCCCCCGGCTTCTCTCCACTTGGAGTCTGGCCTCGGCAGCCCCCAGCTCTGTTCGGGGAGTATGAGGCACTCACTGCCCAGCACTCGGGACCGCTGGCTGCAGAAGAGGCTGTCCTGATAGGAAGGGTCAGTGCCATAACATGTCGGGGTCCTCCCTCTGGCTCAGCCCCTGCCCTTCATTCTGTTCCAAGGATGGAGAGGCGGGGCCCCTGCACAGGGAGTGCTGTGGCCCACTTCTGCCACCTGTCCCCTGCCTTGGGAGCCCCGTGCTGTCTGCCCTGCTTCCTGCTGCCCACCAGGCCTTTCACTCCTGTACCTCGCAGCTCTGAAAACTGGTTCTCCCATTCAGCACGTCTTCTCAGTCATGAAGTGGACAGGTAGTGCAGAAGGGCTCTTTTCTGCTCTTTGGCAGTAAGCCACAATTATGCAGGCTGTCTTCCTAGCAATTTTCCAAATTAACCATCTTGGCCCTTACCTGTGTTTCCGGTCCAGGAGGTAGTGAGAGCAGCCGGGCCCACGTGACGCCCTCTGCAAGCCCAAGCAGTGAGCTGCTCTCGCCCTGGCTGCATGAGCATCCAGCTTTGGATGCTTCTGACAGACACAGCGCCGTCTGTCTGAGAACCTGGATGGAGCCAAAGCCCACCCCTCCTCCTCCCTGAAAACTGACAGCTATGGTCTTACACAAGGGGCCTTCTCTGGCCCGAGGCCTACTGCCCTCCGACTGGGACTGGACCCCACTCTCCAGCAGTGGCCAGAGGCACATCACGCAAAGAGGCAAAGCAAGCACTGCAGTCACCATCCTCATTGCTGCTGAAAGACTAGAGCTTGATCTCACAGAGGGCTCTGGGCTCTGCGGGGAGCAGGAGATTGTGAGGGGGGCAGGCCTTTCTGGGCATGGAAACTCAGTGCCTGGGGCAAGACCGCACTGAGAGGGGGGCCCGGGGCACAAGAAGGTTCAGGGCCTCGCCCAGGTCTGTGTGGAAGGAGGAGCTGACACTGCTAGCTGAGAGCAGGGGACCCTCAAGATGGAGGGCCAGCAGCTTGTGGTGAAAGAGTTTGAAGCCCTGGGTCCCCAGCAGGGGTGGCAGCTCCCAGGAGGCCTGCGCCAAGGTGGCATTAAGCACTTTGGTGGAGAAGCCCAGAGTTCAGGTGACTGCAGAGGAAATGGGATGAGCTGCTTGGCAACCCCTGTCTGCCTGAGGCCAGGGGCTCTTTAGGGCTTGGGCGGCGGGGCTGTCACTCACTGCTGCCCATAGTGGAGGTGTGGACAGAGGCAGAGTCCTGGCTGGCGCTCTCCGCCGAGTAGGCTCACAGGTGGATGGAGTAAACTGGCAGGTTCCAGGTTGGAGAAGATATGCTCAAAGGTGCCTTTGCCCACAGCCTCTTGGAGCCCTGGGCCAGCTGGCTCTAGGAGCAGGGCAGCTTGGCAACTCAGCATCTCACTTCCTCACTACAGACATCCCCTCCCCCATTCAGTGGGCATGGAGCCCCTCCTGTTGCCTGGCTGGAGAGCAGGGAAGTGGCTGCAGGAGCTGGAGTTAAGATGAGAAAGGCTGAGGGAGAAAGGGCCAAGGAACACAAAGAAGCACCAGAGGACCACAGCCCCAGCAGCCTGGAAAAAATCAGGCAGGCCTGGGGTTGTGAGGAGTGAGAAGAATTTGCCAAGGGACACACCAGTCACAGGTATAGGTGGGCTGGAACCCGGGACCCCTGTTCACCCACCCATATCCACCTCCCACCAGCTGAAGGTGCAGCACATAGCCCATGATGTCCATGTTGGAGGGGGGCGGTTCCCAGGACACTCACATGGCAGAGGTGGAGAGAGTCATTACCTGCAGGCCCCTGGGGTGGCTCTGGGTCCCCTATCACAACGAGGTGGGTACCAGCCTGGTTGGAGCCCGCAGTATTCTCTGCCACACATTGGTAGATGGCCTCGCCCTTGGTTGAGACCCCTGCCAGTGTCTGTGTGCTAGGGAGAGACAGTACAGCTGCTGGGGGCTCTTCCCCCCAAACCCCCTACCTGGTGGGGCGGCTGTCATGGCAGAGACCCACAGCTTCTCAGGGACAGAAGGAAACCACCTGTGTGTGGGCATTCCCTATAGTGAACCAGGTGGGACAGAGTCTCCTGTGGTGGGGGCACTTGCTGGGGGGGGTGAAGTCGAGAGAGTAGATTTAGGTAGGGTTATGTGTAGGTGTGAAAGGGGCAGGTGAGGGCATCTACTGTTGCAGACAGCCAGGGGGAGGAGATGAGACACCATTACCTGCTGTTGTGGGTCAGCCAAATGTTATCCCCAGGACTCAGCACCTTCCCATTCTTTAACCAAACCAGATGGGGCTCGGGGACACCCTGGGCCATGCAGGTGCAGATGGCACTGCTGCCTGGAGGTTTGGACAAGGACTGTGGCCACTGGACAGACTCGGGGGGAGCTGGGCAGGTAACAGTGGGAGGAAAGGTGCCATGAGACCAGGTCTCTTGTCCTACCCCTGTCCTACTTCTCTCCCTATCCAGGTACCCGTGGGGGGGATGGGGTGTCCCAGGACCCTGCACACTGGGCCCTCGGGGCTCACCCTGCACAGGCAGAACTCCCTGTGCTGTGTGCCAAGCACGGATGCCCGGCTGGTTGGCAGCATAGACATAGATGCCTGAGTGCTGGACTGACATGTCAGACAGAGATCATGAGGTTCCCAGTGCTCAGGACTTGGATGCCCTCCACACCTTGGATGCAGAGCAACCATCTGCAGGGAGGTGAGGGGTCAGGACTGGCAAAGGCAAGGGGCTCTGGGGAGCAGGACAGAGCAGCTACGTACCCAGGCGGCTGCAGGAGACAAGTGGCCTTGTATGGCCAGTAGCGATGCACTCCGGCACTGCCGTCTGGTGCACTGTGAGCGTTAGGTTCCGAGGTCCCGACAGGATCCTGGAGCAGCTGTGGGGATCCCACTGTGAGATGGAAACAGCGACTTGAGAGACTGAGGAGCAGAACCCCCTTTCACACCCAGTCCATACTTCCACTCCCAGAGCCCCTTCTAGTCCTCAAGTCACCAGACCTCAGAGTGGCGCTGAGCAGCTTCTATTTTATTCCCAGTTTACAAAAAAAGACAATGACTTGCCCAAGGTCTCATGGCAGCATGCTCCAAGTTAAACCAGTGGGGAGGGAGAGGAAAGACTGTAAGTTGTTCCCCATGAGCACCCTGGGATGGCCTGCACTAGTGTCAGAACATGAACTGCCTCACCCTCCCCAGGAAGCTGTTGGGGGGGGGCTTGGGACGGGGCCTAGTCTCCTTCTCTAAGTCACCCACAAATCTGGCAGGAAGCCCATCCCTCAGAAAAAAAGTTAGGCCTCAGTGAAGAACTCAGTGAGTCTGAACTGCTTGGAAGGGATGTTTTTAAAATACACTGTGTGGGTCTAAACCGCCTGTTTGTTTTAAGCCGCCCTCTCGCATCACATTAGGTTGTTGAACAAAGGTGCACAGGGGTCCACCGGCCGGTGGCCGGTGCCAAGAAGTCGGATTGAGTCTTACAAATCTTTAAATATTCCTCAAGGCCTAGAATAGTATTTCATTCATTCATTCATTCATACACCCATTCATTCCCTGACCATATATATTGAGGGCTTACTTAGGGCCAGGCCCTACTCGGTTTGCTTCTTCAAAGCTCTAGTTCAGCCGTGGGCTGTCCTGCAATGTCCCAGCCTCGACCAGGGCGGCTGTGTGCTGCCTGCTCAGGTCGTTCAGAGGGCAGAACCTGGACCACACGACACTTTGCCCGCCAGCGCCCTAAACCCCTCCCCCTTCCCCCGCATCACCCTGCGAGCCCACACACCTTGTCTCACTTCATCCTCACTGCAGCCTGTGAGGCAAGCACTTTAATTTCTCCAGCCTACAGATGAGAAAACCAGGTGTCAGAGAAGTTGAATATAGAGAAGTCGTCCAGTGTCAGTGGGACTGGAAGAAACAGGACTCAAACCTGGGCTTTGGAAGCCAGCTGACAGCACACCTGTCCTGCCACAGCCAGCACCTGGACAGTCCGGGACATCTCGTTTCCCTGGTGCCTCCCCAGGGTGAGGCCCGGCCCAGGGGAGTGCTGTAGGAGTGCATGGTTCAGGGCCGTGGGCTCCAGCTCCTGTCCCTGGGAAAGTCTGCAGTGACCCCAGTCCCTTCTCCACACTGAGGAAGCCTGCGCACCCTCTGTTACTGGTTGACCCTCTGCCCCCAGCGGAGCCTGCTCCGCCTTCTGACCTACCTGAGACTCTAGCCATTCATTTCCCTGCCGCCATGGACAGCAGGAAGGAGGGCCATGCCTGCCCCATACCCCGGCATTGGATCAGGAGCACGGAGCACAGCACTCTGCCCTACCCTCCTGCCCCAGGTGGTTGATGGGAAGCGGAACAGGGAGGTCAGAGGAACCCCGTGGGCTCCCCTCTGATCTGGGGGCGGGGGTAGGCCCCTGAGCCCCTCTCTGCTTTCAGTTTCTAAGTTGGTTCCTGATCAGAGACACTACAGCTCCCTCCCTTCCCCTTGCAGTCTTCAATGTGAAAGTTATACATCCTTTGGTGAAATTTTGTCACAAATATTTCGGAAGACTGTGCCAGGCACCCTGACGCTTTCCCAGGGTCTACTTGTTATTTCTACTATGGAGCCCCCTAGTGGACTGTTCAGGCGCACCTCCCCCTCAGACACCTGCGGCGTCCTGGCTTCAAACTGAGGGGTCCATCTCATTCCCATCGCCTTGTTAGGTACCAGCTCCTCACAGGCTCTGCTGCGACCCTCACTTTGGGCACAAACCTCTCCCACCCCACTAGGCCTGCATTTAGAGTCACCCTGGGTGTTTCATCCCAGGTACAAAGCTGTTTTTACCCTCACCCCAAGGAGGAAACGTGCAAGCATGCACACCCAAACACAGGCACAGCCTGAGGCACAAGCACACACGGAGCTGCACCCAGGCGTCCGCTCCCAGGCAAGACGCAGGCTGACTCTGAGCCCCCATCCGAAGCCATCGAGCGTTCCCGGTGCCCTCCAGACCTAGTCCCAACTGCGTTCCTCAGTGGGCCTGGCCTACCTCGACTCTGCTGGCCCTGGGTTCAGCCCACTCTGTTTTTACCCTGCGCTTTTAGCACAGGGAAATGTCAGGGACACCATCCTCTCCACCTGCCTGACCTTGGCTGCCTCTCGCCTGTCACCCTTCAACACCTAGCCGTCTTGGCCCACAGCCCAAGGTGGAGTCAGAGGCCCCTCCCTCAGCGCTAGGATGTCCTGTCCAAACACTGCTGCACCACACACCCAGCGGGGCCTCACAGACAGCAGGGGCTCCGAGTGTCCGTCTTCACAGAGCATCTGTGCCACCTACCACCACAGTGGCTACACCTACTCCCATCAGCGCCAACTCCCACACCCTCCTCTTTCCTGGTGCCCACTCTGATTCCCCTGGCTGTTGCTTACCACTGAGGGTCAGCTGGGCATCCTGGCTGTGCTGACTATTGGCCACATTGCGTGCCATGCAGTGGTAGGTGCCCACGTCAGCCTGGCTTACGCTGGTGATGTGCAGGATGCCACCAGGCAGCAGTGTGACCCCGAGGATGCAGAAGTGAGGGGTCCATGGCTGTTCCCTGGCCTGCAGCCTGCCACCCCAACACACTTGGCCGGTGCTCACCGGTGGTTGGCCGTACTCAGGGCTGTGCCATCGTGCTCCCAGGAAATGGAAGGCTCAGGCACCCCCCGGATCAGGCATGGAAATGAGCAACTCCACCCTGATCCACCTTGGTGGACTGTGGATGTTGGTGGGAGAGGGACAGACCTAGGGCACAGGGGACCTGAGCACCCCAGAGCTGGCCCTGGGCTTTGCTCCCAACAACTAAGTCCCAGAGCCCCGGCTCCCACCTCCGTGCCCAAGCCTGTCACTCCCTGCTGCCTGCCTCACTATGCAAGCCCGCAGTCTGGTTTCTGTGACTTTTGTAGGCTGTAAGTACTTTGCCTTTCTCCATAAAAACAAAAACAAAAACAAAAAAACATTGAAAATTACATTTTATGTTTGCATTGTAAAACACAAATATAATCCAGGCTGGGCTCACTATTATGTATTCATTATTATGGTCTTTTTTTCTTCTGGTTTGAAAGAAATTAGAATTAAACCATTTCCATGGGCCCCTGAAAGTAGCCCTAGGCCTTATACGTGCTGTGTCTACAGGCTAAGCTGGCACTGCCCAGGGCAACTCTGTGCCCTGTGGGCATCCTCTGCGGGCGCCCCTGTCCACTCTTATCCCCACCCCAAGAAACAGCCTGGTCACTTACTTGCCAGCCATATCCGGGCCCTCTGGCTCACCGGCCACCCGCAGCGGTACTCATGAGCACGGGAAGGGAAGCTCCGGCAGGTGGCCAGATGAAGTGAGCCATCCGGGATCAGGATGGCACCGCTGTCACTGGCCAGGGCCAGTCCATCCCACTGCCAGGAAATGGACACAGGCGGCCCACCCTCCACCTGGCAGGGCCCCACCAGTGGGTGCTTCCTCGCAGCCGCCACGTCTTCCCGGCTCCTGCAGGAAAGCTAGCTCCGAGCCCGCAGCACGACCTGAGGGACCAGCCAGCAAGGCCTGGCCATGGCAGCTGCTTCTGGCCCTCTGCCTCCCCTCAGCTTCAATCCCCTTCCAGCCTGGGTGAGGGGTGAGAGGCAGGACTTTCCTTCGGGGAGACCTTGGGGCAGCAAGGGAGGAGCAGGCCCAGGTGGCCACCATCCGGCTGGGCTGGTGGCAAAGGCCAAGCCTGGTGGGCCATCGTGATTGACGGTCTCTTTCAGCCAGGCCCTGGCAACAAGGGACGGGTGGGGTGGGCACAGCGGTGAGATCGGGGGCCCAGGCATGGGCGCTGTGCTCCCTGGGGGACAAGGGGCTGCCTCCTTCTTCCCTGCCAGCCCACCTGCCTGTCTGCCCACAAGGTCAGCCTCCCAGGACCCCTGGCTCCTCCTCCTCCTCCCCTGCCACCAGGACCCCAGCCTCCAGATGGGGAAGGATGCTCCTACACTCACACACACTCGGTCAGGCACACACGTGGACTAAAAACCCCAACCTTGCACACCATCCCACCTCCTAACACAGTTGCATCCCGGACACACACTCAATAGAGGACACAAAGGCAGGTCACACACTGATGTCCCTACAGGCTCAAAGTCACAAATACACAAACAGGGCAACAGACACGGATGTCACGGGCCCAGAACTGCTTGAGCAGAGCTGTGCCACACACGTGCAGGCCAGCCCACCACGCCTGCAAGGCTGAGCCAGGACCTGCCCGGTAGATGAGGGCGGATGAAGGGACAGACAGTGGCCTCTGCGGGGCCAGATCCCACACGCCCAGGGCTCATCCAGCCTCGGTACCTCGGGGGTATCTGGGGAAACCTCTTGGTCCTGCCTTTCCAAGACCCTCTGCCTGACAGCCCCTCCTAACCACTCATCACCTGACTCCAGCTCCCCTCTTAGCTGGCACAGCCTCAGCACTGCAGCCAAAGGCCTGGCTCTCCAGAGGCTGTCCCTCTACATGGCTCTTTTACACACATACACACACCTGTCCCTTCTCCGTCCCACAGGGTTTCTGCTCCTCTGTTCCTACACTCCTGTCCTTCCATCACCCCTTCCCCCATTTTGCCCCCAATTCTCCCACCCCTGTGTCCCCTAATCCTTCTACTTGCCTCTCCCACTGGGTCCCCTCCGACGCCTCTCCCCCCCTCACCCTCATCTTCGTCCTCCCGCCCACCTGCAGGCCCCACCCCCTTACCTCTCTTGGAGCTGCCGCAGCAGCCCCAGCCCCGTGTCCCCACAGGCCTACTTCTCAATCAGCCCTGATCTTCTGCCTTCAGCCTGGGGGCCCCTGGGTTGTGGCATTCCCACCCCACCCTTGGGGGACAGTGTGGAGGCTCTGGCCTTGTTTGGGGAGCCCAGGGTCTGGGGAGGCCAAGGTCTGGGGTCGAGGCCTGAGGCTGCTGTTCTTCACTCTGGCCTCCCTGGACTCGTCTCTTTCTGCTTTGAGCCTGAGCCTCCCCCCCACGCCCACCCCCACCGTCCTCTCGTCTGTGAGCCCAGACACGGAGACAGTTGGGGCGGGGAAAGAAGAGGGGGCGGGGGGGGGGCAGTGAGAGCAGAGCACGGTTGGGGGTCAAGCCCGCCCCTTTCCCAGCCTCCCGAGTCTTTCTCAGCCCATCGGACCCACCCCTTACTCCCCCTCACACTCTGATTGAGAGTGAAGTTCTAAGAGCAGTTGGGGCATCTGCTTCCCTAAGCTCATCTCTGGAGATTCAAGGCCTAGCTAGACAGGGGTGGCCTGGAGTCTGATTGGAGGGTCCCACCCTTCTCGCGGCGTCGCTGTCCCAGGTGCTGAGCCAGGGCCCAGACCCGGGGGTCGGGGGGGGGAGGGGAGCTCCTCCTGTCAGTCTGGTAGAGGTCCTGGCAGCCCTTTCCCGTTCATAGTGTCGCTTTCCAAAGCTGCTTCTCTGTTCTTGTTGGGACAGGGATCAGGGCCACCAGGGCCCGGGAGGCGGCCAGCCGGCGGGAGGTGCGGACCCAGCCTCCACTGCTCCGTCGCCTAGAGAAAAAAGAGGCCCAGACCCTTCCCCCTCCCCTGCTGATCATCTGAACATGCGTACGGTGGGGGGAGGGGCAGCCCTTTGGCCAAAGGAGCGTGGCACCCAAAAAAGCACTGACTTTGAGACTCCCTATTTTTGTAGGACCACCTCCCCAAATGGCAGCTCTCCAAAAAGTGGAGCTTAGGGGAAACTGAGGAAGTATGGGGGAGGGCCTGTGAAAGGGGACAAGGAGCAAAAGCAGGTGAGGAATGCGGCTGGGGTAGAACACCAAGGCCACAATCACCCAGGCGTCTGCCCCCAGGAGTCCAGCCAGTCTGACTCTTGACCTTGACTCTTCTGCAGTCCTCTCCCCCTCACCCTGGCCCCTCAGCTACTCATCTCTGGCTTTGCCCTGCACAGCTGCGGGGGGGGGGGGGGAGGTGCCCCGCCTCTCCACACAAGCCCCACCCTCAGTCTTCAGCCAACATGCTCAGCCTTCTCCATCCAGACCAGCAGTCCTGGGGTGTGCCTCCCGGCCCGGCCACCGTAAAGGAGAGTGCCTTGTAAGAAGAGACCTTGCAGCGTCCCCACTGGGCTGTCCTCACCCAGCCCTGTACCTCTCTGGCTGCCCACCCCTTCCCTGGAGCAGCCTCCTGAGTCAGAGCAGCCTGGAAAGGAAAGCGTTCGGTCACGGGCCCTGTGGTCAGGAGGACATGGCCCCAGTCACTCAGTCACTCACAAGCTGTGTGTCCTTCGTGGGCAATGTTACCTCTCTCGGCCTGCTCCGTCTATAAAATGGGGGTGGGTGTGTGATAGAAAAATTTCCCTTCGTGAGCGGGAGGGTGACACTGAGTAAGGGCTGAGGACAGAATCTGGTCGCACCCCTTTTCCCTACCTGGTTTGGCCTGACGCTGTGGGAACCGGCCCCTTGCCAATAACTGCTGAGAAGCTGCGTCCTCATTGGCAGCAACCGCCTTGCCACCCCCGAATTCATACCCCAGTGTCCCCGCGGCGCAGAGAACAACCAATGCAGAAGGCCTGGGTTCAAGTCCCAGTTCTGTCACTAAGCAGCCATCTTGCCTTGGGCTGGCATCCCTTACCTCTGAGACTGCCCGTCCGCAGCATGGGAAGAAGGCACGGGCGGTCTTCCAGGGCTGTGAGGACCAAGCAACGTGCACTGCACCCAGGGGCCAGCCACTGTGTCTTCTCCCCTCCGGCTCCTCCTCCGTGTGAGTGATCCGAGATGTAACTCATACAGCGTGAGTTTGCCTGCCCCGTAATCTAACTTAGAACACTTTCTCCGCCCCCAGAAGAAACACTGGACCCGGTCCGGTGGCTCCCTCCTGCCTCCTGCCCCAAACCACCGATCTGCTTTCACCTTTGCCGGTTCTGGAAGCCTTATGTTAATGGAAGCATACTTCACGTAGCCTTTTATGTCTTGATTCTTTCACTTAGCATCCTGCTTTTTTCCAAAGATTTTATTTATTTATTTTTAGAGAGAGGGGAAGGAAAGGACAAAGAGAGGGAAACACAAGTGTGTTGTTACCTTTTTCGTGCCGTGCCCCCCAGAGGGGACCTGGCGTGCAATCCAGGCATGTGACCTGACTGGGAATCAAACCGGTAATCTTTTGGTTCACAGGCTGGTGCTCAATCCACTGAACCACACCAGTCTACGCTAGCATGATGTTTTCAAGGTTCATTTGCATACTGGTGTGCATCAGTACCTCATTTCTTTCTGGGGCTGAGTACTGTTTCATTATGGCTGTACCACAGTATGTTTATCCATTCATCAGATGATGGTGCCCACTTTTTTACTATTATGAATAATGCTGCTATGTACATTTGTGTACGGGTTTTTTCTTTTTAATATATTTTATTGATTATGCCATTACAGTTGTCCCATTTCCCCCCCTTCATTTCCCTCCATCCTACACTCCCCTCCCCCATCATCCTCCCCCTTTCGTTTATGTCCATGTCTCACAAGTTCTTTAGATTCTATATTTCCCCTACTATTCTTGCCCTCCCCCGTCTATTTTCTACCTACCGTCTATGCTACTTATTTTCTGTACCTTCTCCCCCCTTCTCTATCTCCCACTCCCCTGTTGCTAACCCTCCATGTGATCTTCATTTCTATGGTTCTGCTCCTGATCTAGCTGTCCTCTTAGTTTGCTTTTGTTTTAGGTGTGGTTGTTGATAACTGTGAGTTTGCTGTCCTTTCACTGTTCATCTTTTTTATCTTCTTTTTCTTAGATAAGTCCTTTTAACATTTCATATAATAAGGGCTTGGTGATGATGAACTCCTTGAATTTGACCTTCTCTGGGAAGCACTTTATCTGCCCTTCCATTCTAAATGAAAGCTTTGCTGGATAGAGCAATCTTGGATGTATGTCCTTGCATTTCATGACTTGGAATACTTCTTTCCAGCCCCTTCTTGCCTGTAAGGTCTCTTTTGAGAAATCCGCTGACAGTCTGATGGGAACTCCTTTGTAGGTGACTGTTCCCTTAGCTCTTGCTGCTTCTAGGATTCTCTCCTTCATTTTAATTTTGGCTAATGTAATTATGATGTGCCATGGTGTGTTCCTTCTTGGGTCCGCCTTCTTCGGGACTCTCTGAGCTTCCTGGATTTCCTGGAAGTCTATTACCTTTGCCAGATTGGGGAAGTTCTCCTTTATTATTTGTTCAAATAAGTTTTCCACTGGTGGCTGTTCCTTTCTCCCTTCTGGTACCCCTGTAATTCGGATGTTGGAGCGTTTAAAGATGTCCTGGAGGTTCCTAAGCCTGTCCTCATTTTTTTTGAATTCTTGTTTCTTTATTCTTTTCTGTTTGGTCATTTTTTTCTTGCTTCTGGTCCACTCCCTTGATTTGAGTCCCAGTTTCCTTCCCATCACTATTGGTTTCCTGTGCATTTCCCTTTGTTTCACTTAGTGTAGCCTTCATTTGTTCCTCTAATTTGTGACTAAAATCAACCAGTTCTGTGAGCATCCTGATCACCAGTGTTTTGAACTGTGCATCTGATAGGTTGGCTATCTCTTGGTCTCTTAGAAGTATTGGCTCTATGGCTTTGAGCTGTTCTGCTTGAGCCATAATGCTTTGGTCTGTTTGGTCCAGTTTCGTAGGAGGGGCAGAGGCTTAGGTGTTCACTGGGGCAGGGCCAACCAGTTGCTGGGTTTTGACGCTGTATGTGGGGGCAGGGCCAGAGAGGGGCAATTGCCTTTGTTAT